TCTTCCAATAAAATAATTTTGCAAATGAATTCATGATTTTTTTCTTAATTTTTAACCACGCATACTCCAAAAAATTTATCGTCAAAAAATTTAGATCAAACATGTCTTTAATCTCATTCCAACCAAACGTTCTATTGGTTACTAGAGATGAATTGAGTAGTCAACAAAAGTTGTTCCGGGAATTAAAACTCGTGGGGTTTACGTGGACCGCATCACGTGTGATCATGATTTCTCATCGCTGATGAATCAATAGCTTTTTCGTCCTTTCGAACTTTTCAGTTTTCACCCCCACGCACATATGAGCAATGCTACAGTGTATCTCAGTCTACAGCAGATTTCAGTTCTGTACATCAGAACTGAACAGAGAAGACTGACGAAATAGCTTGGGCCCCACCACCAGCTCCTCCGCCAGGTGGTGGACCATACTCCCCGATATGACCCACTTCTCTCGTCACTTTCAATTTAACCATCATATCCAAAATCCAAAAAACTTGAGGTTATTTTTTTTAATCAAATAAAGTTCAGCAAAAAAGATGAATATTGATTCATTTCTAATTTTTAAATGTAATTAGAGGATATGATTAATAGCATCATAGAATCTACAGAATGGTTAATAGTTTGTGCATGCAAGTGCAAGAGAGAATATAATAACTCGATTACAAAAAAATGTGTTATTACAAAAGGGTAAAATGCGTACCTGACGGAGGATTCCGGGAAGCGCTTACACGGCTGAGCCTGGCGGAGGACGTGGAGGTCTCCACCGGGGCAAAACTCCGTCAAGAGGCACGACCATTTCGGAGAGTCAATCGAGGCGTAAAGTGTGGGCAAAAATGGATGGTCGAGCATTTCGAGAATTTCCTTTTCTGTCCTCGCTCTACCTTCTTTATTACGGCTCGCGAGTTCCTTCTTGTCCATGACCTTAGCAGCGAAGAGAGCCACCGGGGAGGATTTTGGCTGCTCTTCCGAGGACGGTGACTTGAGTTTGGCTAAGTAGACGGATCCGATATCTCCGGAGCCGAGGCGGTGGAGAAAGCGAAGATCGGAGAGGGATAGGCAGTGGAAGCGGCGGATTGAGTCCCAGCATGGGTCACCGGATGGAGTGGTGGAGGAGTAAGGTTTGACGGCGGTAGAGGGAGGGTAGAAGTGGTGGGCGGAGGAGGAGGTCCAAGTGGTGGTTTCAGAGCCAGAACTGGTGGAGCGGTGGATGTCTGTGGCGGTGGTGGTGGAGTTGAAGCTCATGCTTTGTAAATCGTCGGCTATGTCGTCCACCCCTTGCTCCATGGGTTTTTGTTCCATGGCTTATGTCTAAACCTTACAATGGCTTCACTCTCAGTTTTAGAGAGGATATTGCGACTAGTGTCTGTGTGCGTGTGTTTGTGCGGATTTTGAAGAGACATTGGGTGGGGTGGGGTGGGGTGGAGTGGGGTCGAGGAGGGAAATGAATTTATTGGGCCGGTTATTGGACTGAGGATTCGGTGTAAAAATTGGGTACATTGGGCCCGAGATACAAGTTTTTTTTTTTTAAATTCCTATAATGTGGTAGTTTGCCTAGAATAAGAATCATATTCCAAAAATAAAAGATAATGATTCTCTCTCTTAAATGCAAGGATTGTTTTTCAGAAATCAAAATATATGAAATATGGAATGAATGAATCTAAGAATATCTCTATTTCGGTATTTCAAATGCAAATGTGACTTATTTTAAAAGTAATGTTATTCATCATCACTAGTATTAAACACCCGTTTAGGTGGCAATTGCATACCACTGAATAATGATATTTAATCCCCCTGAAATTATAATCACTGTCTATGTGGTGTTATGTGATAGGTCAAATGAAAGTTATAATTAAATGACCCATTTAATTTCAAGCTTTGCTGCAAAAAAAAAAAAAAAAATCACCAGAATTGCAACAAACCACTCACACAACGATGGGACCCACATTTGTCTCTATTCTGGTGCAATTCTGATTATTTTTTTCTGTACAAATACTTTTTCTCTTTAATTTCACTTATCATTTGGTGTTATAACCTCAGTTGGAGCTAAATAACATTACTCTCGTTTAAATGTAAAGTCACATAACTTATTTTATTCAACCTATAAAGTGTAATCATATAAATTAGTGTTCTAGCACCACCAATACTTGATAATATTATTCTCATTTTAAAGTTTGACACAAACAAAAATAGACAATGCTTAAAAAATCTCTTCGAACTCTCTCAAGAATAGACATTGTATACAAATTCGTCTAGATTCAAAGGTCCGTTCTGGACAGAACAACTCGGCAAAATTAATATTTACTTTCTAAATTTGTATTTTCTTATCAAGATTTAGCCATGATATTCTTTTCAAGTCACATAAATAGCAATCCATAAAATGCACCGGAGAGTAATTATATTACACTTCAATGTCACGTGGACTAAAAGTCCTTTATTTACCAAACGTGTAGAATAATGCATTGAAAATATTTTAATTCATCGAGTAGATTTACTTTAGACGAAAGTAGCAGTCTAAACTAAAGTTCTTTGATTCATTAATTATCTCCCGTTTTAAGGACATGTAGTACCATGCAGTAGAACATGTTCCTTGTTACCAGAGGTGGGATCGATGGCATGCCTAAAATTTTTGTAAATGGGACAGTTAGTAGTTGGTACTTGGTAGTCATGACTGTCATTTAAGAGAAAGTACCATTTACCTTCTTTCCTTCTTCTTTCAAGTTCCTTTTCCAGACAAGGACACAATCACATTAAAGAGAGAACCATTTACCTTCTAATTTCCTTCTTCTTTCAAGTTCCTTTTCCAGACAAAGAAACAATCACATTTAAGAGAAAGAACCATTTACCTTCTAATTTCCTCCTTCTTTCAAGTTCCTTTTTCAAGATAAAGACGTAACCGGTAAAGGAGTCGGTCGTCTAGACGACCCAAATCATGTCAAAGCTTATAGGTGATCCGACATGAGC